TAAGGTGTTTCTCCTCCCAAGTCCCATCAATCAATTCTGACTGATCAGCATGACAATGCACTAAACTCATTTTCTACTCCTCCAAAATTCTCATGGATAAAAAAGATACTTATGAAAATTTTAAGGCAAATTCAAACACATTAGGAGAAAAATCTTGTCACAAGTGGCCAAAGTGGGCTGAACTCTGATGAGGTAAATTAGCGGTCGACAGTCTGCCCAACACTGGTCTTTAGTTAGTTCCTCCCACTTAGCTTCTCCCAAAGAATTCTGGCTACAAGAATGATTCTAAAGACACCTACTACAAAACAGGAAAGGCAACTGTGGTAATCAGTAATGTACTTGATAGCATCTGCAGGGGCAGTGAGTTGTCACTTAACAGAACTTAAAGATTGTGCCAAAAAGGTAAAACACATTTTTGCTGCGTTGCACGTACAAGAGACATTCTAGACAGAATCCAGTTAGGCAAACGGGAGCTTAAAGAACACAATAGTCTGAGGGTAAGGCTTCCAGCTAAAGAACCAAAATGGATCAGATCCCACCTTAAAATGGAGTCCCACGGTATCATCCCTACTTCTCTAGACAGAGCCAATCGCTCCCTTTTTCCCAAAATGGTTGACTAATAATTTTCTAGTTGTCATTATCATCTCTCCACACAGCAGCACATACACAGGTGATATAACACAAAGGATTCTTCTATAAAATTGGAAATTCAAACATCAGTAGAAATTAAGTTTCCGTTTCATTAGAAGAGTGAAACATCTACTTTTCAAAGAATCAATTCCTGTATGTTTACTTCTTCCAGACAGCAATCTTGAGCCTCAAATCACTTTTGCATCAACTAATTATAGCTTGAAAGTGTAACAGCTGCTACAACAGGATTTTTTTTTTATTGATTCAAATAGATTGGTCTTGTGTTAAAGCATGAAGTCAAGAGTCACAAAACCATGTTACATTTCCACTTTTCCATGGACTGGCATCAGGGATTTTTTTGATTTAATGTGCAAAATAAGCCAAGTATTCCACACTTTACAGGAATGCAGCTTCAGACCTGCAAGCACCTTTTGAGTTTCGCACGTATACAGTGCTGTCTTGGTGCCCAGAACAGTATGTTATCTGCAGGAACATCTACCAGCCTTGAAAAATACAAGATTTCAACAATACTTTTTGGAAGCTTCCGTTTATCTCTCAAAGCAGCAGATAAGACACAATGGTATGTCCCTTAGTCAGATGTTATATACAGCTGTTGCACAAAACACTTGCAGTTTGCTGGGTTTTGGTTCAAAATAGTAAATGCTGGTACTTACTGAATTTAAATTGCTCCTCAAACTCCTGCTGCTTCTTTTCTCTTTGTTCCTGAAGTCTTTCATACAACGAACGTGGGTCATACGCCTCCTCTGGGCATTCTGGAAGGAAGGAACAAATCTAGATATGAGACCAGATGTTAGAAATACTAAATCACCAACAGTTCTTAGTTCCTTCACGTAAAAACCTTTTGAACTTGTACAATACAAGCTACTACTTTTTAGTTCTGTTTTCCAAAAAAGTAAAATATTCCCTGATCTCTCTCCTATAATTATTAAAATATATCCCATACCTTCTGGATCCTCAGGTTTTCGGACCTTTTCCCATTCTTCTTGTCTTCTCTTTCGCCGCTCCTCTAGCTCCGATTCAGACACAAACCTCTTGTTAATCACAAGGTCAGCAGTACCATCTCCCCCATCCATTGTGGAACAGCCTGTCCTAAAAACACAATATGCAAGACACCAGGGGCCCGATTTCACTTGTCAGTGCATGAGACATTACTATACATCCTGAAAAACAAACCCGCTGCACTTATAATAACTCCAGTCCTCTAAAGACTACTAATTGTGATACCTATTCACTGCATAACTGCTACGATTAATAGCATCACCTATGACTCCTCCTTTACCATTTTTCATAATTATGTCTTCCCTGTTAGTTGTCTGCCTCAGGCTGCTGTTCTAGAAGTCATATTTTAATGGAATTTTCCCCACCGCACTTTGGACTTACCTTGCTTAAATAATTACTAAAAACAAAAGCCCATACCTACACTCACATACTTTTATTTTAGTTTACACCTCTCTGTTCTGGAGAAAGTATTTGAGACTTTGCCCTCACTTTAGCTAAGTTCTTTTTGCTCACCCTGTGAAAACTCAAGAAAGCTTGTCTGTTTGCAATGATTTGCATACATATATTCGTAAGTGCTGAACAGTGTTATTTCAGAAATTAGCAACTAATCTCTCTAACCTTCAAAAGCAACCTGTAGCTCTTTGCAGCTCTGGGGAGAGCTAGGTTTGGACAGACTATGGTGGGGGACTGTCTGTCAGGGTACACAAAGCTCAAGAGGTGAAAGAGGGAATTCCCTTGGGCTAAAACAGGACTGGGCTTAGGAAACAGGAGCAGCACTTGTGACCAAGTGAGCACAGCCCCTTTTCACACAGTATATCCACCCTCTGCTTCAAGAGATCCTAATACTTGAGTACTGGCCAGATCACTTTTCCAATACCAGGTGCAAGGTGAATATGCTTAAGGGGTCATCCTAAGAACTCCTGATCCCAAGACACCTGTAAGCCCAGGATGAAACAAACTGCATCTGCTAGTCTTAAGTGGCTCACTTCAAGATTCACTTCAAGATTTATTCTGCCAGCTCCATGCTATAGAAGGAGGCGCTAATGCCTATTTTTGTTTCTTACGCCAAGCCTGTATACACAAGTATAATGTAAACACAGCATCGACAGCTATCCATTTAAAGTCATGCAAACCTCATGCTTTTTTCCAGTTTCTCCTTATTTCCTTGGTATAACTTCAGCAAGTACCTTCAAGGACTACAGATGATGGCTCCATGCACTGACAAGTATTATTCATTTAGGATCTCACCCTGCCTATGTTTCAGCACTGGAAGTGAACCCAGAACACTTTACTCTTCCAGGGAGAGAGGGAAGGATGCAGTAACCCTAATAATGGAAGGAAGCAGTTTATCATTCTTCCTTCATACCACAAAGAACCTCTCCTGCAGGAAGCAGAGTCCTGAAATTCTTAAAAAAACTGATGCTTTTTCTGAGTTATTGTTTGTAATACAAATGCCAAACTGAGGTCTCAGAAGAAATCTAAGTTAGAGCACTGGACAGGTATTTGTTACAGCCAGATGCATTCTAAAGGTGGGAATTATCAAAAGACGACAAGACAAAAAGGATTCTCTTAAGAAGCAAGGAAAGGAAGGACAGACCAAGGGCTGGTGATTTTATTTTTTACTTTTCTTTCTTTCTCTTGTTTCTTTTTTAATATCTAGCAAAAATCCACCCTAAGACAAGCCCACTTTTCAGAAAGTATGGAACACCTGCTCTTGAAGTGTCATTTCTGAAGGTGGTTCAAGATGGAAACCTTCAAAGATGAAAACTGAACCTCCCTCCTGAATATAAGTTCTAATCACAAGGCCAGCTTTCCTACCCAAGTGTTTTACAAGCAACGTAACCTCCTTCTCCACTTGCATCATCTCAAGCCATCCATTTAGAGGAAATTTAAAGTTCCAATACAGTGGTGACATTCATAAAAACAAAGAGAGATTCAGCAAGGGCCAGCATCACCTGGGGACCAGAGCCTTCAACAGCAAACCACCTGCATTCCATACCAGCCAGCTCACTCAGACAATATATTTTAAGACACCTGAAGTGGATTAAGGTTTAATTATGACTTGACATACAGCTACGGTATTTTCACTACAACACTGGAAACGGGTATCTGATCAAACACACTTTAGCAAATAACAACTTCAGTGACAACCAAATCCTGGGGCACAAAGATGTGGGGCAAAAAATTAAAATCAAGCAGCACCACATTTAGGTTTGCTTGCAGTTATAAAGTTTGTTAATCTTGCTGTATTCTTTGCCCACCCCCATTTGAAACACACACACACACAACATCTTCCAGACCAGACAAAACATGTTTGGCAGCTGTTCACCTATGTTTTTGTCTGGTGAGTGTATTTTAGCGTTGTCACTGTAAGTGACACAAGTTTATGTCGCAGTTGGAGACTACACCTTTGGATGCTACCAGACGGTGACGTTCCCAGGATCAAAACAATAAAACTTCGCAGCCCTTGCCATCACCCAGGCTGAAACAGGCCCAGAACAGAGACGCCGCCTCAGGTACCCACGTCCCGCCTCAAAAAACACTTACGTGTCGGCCCCCTCCACCCACAAGCTGCTCCCCGCGCCTCCGCCCCGCACCACCGAGCGCGGCGCACCGCTCACTGCTAACGGGGCCCGAGGGCGCTGGGAGCCGGCGAGCCTCCCAGGCGCAGGCCTGGCCGCGCCGAGCCGGGGCCTGCTCCCAGCCCTCGCCACGGCCTCCTCTCCTCACCTTCCCTCCCCCGAGCGGCTCCGGGAGAGGCCGCCCCACACTCCGCGGCCCGCCGCGCTCGCAGGGCCCGGGCCTGGCCCTCTCCGCCCCAGCACCCGCAGGGCCCCACGGCCGCTTCCCCCGCCGCATTCACGGAGCCCCCGCCGCAGCCCCCGATGCCCCCCGGGGCCGGGGTGAGGGCCGCCAGCGCCCACCCCCAACGCTCACCACCGCCGCCGCCAGCCCGTTACAGCGAGAGACACAGCCCGGCCCCAAGCGCCGCCATTGATCCCTTCTCATAGGCCCGCCCAGGTTCGCTCGCCACCGCCCCTTCCGCCCACGAGAACCAACCGGGTTTGCTCTTCCTTAGGCGGGCCCTCCCCCCCCTGCCGTAGCCAATCCCCGCCGCTCTTACGGAAGGCGGAGGCACGAGCGGGAGGGCTGGCTGACAGGCGACGTCAGGGCTGCCCCCGCGCCTCGATTGGGCGACGCGCTAGGGGCCGGGGCCGAGGCCGAGGCCGGGGGCGGGGCGGGTCGCCCAGGAGACGGCGGGGGGCGTGGCCAGGCGGGGCGGGGCGGGGCCGGTCGGTGTGTGGCCTCCATCTTTCCGCCGTGCGCCGCCGCGGCACAAAGGAGCCGTGCCGCCGGGCCGGGCCGCGCCGCGCCGCGCCGCGCCGGTGGGGCGCGGGCCCCGCGGCAGCGGCCCCGCCGTGTTCCCGGTGAGGTTGAGGTGAGGTAAAGCAGGGCGGGCGCCGCCCTCGGGGAGCGGGCGCGGGGCTGAGGGGGAGCGGTGCGGGCACCGCGGGCTGGCGCTGAGGGGAAGGGGCAGCGCCGGGCTGGTCTCGGGGGGCGGCTGTGGGCGCGGGGCCTGCCGAGGCCTCCCTTGGGTTGGCGAAGGGGGGTGGGTGTGGTGATCGCCCTCGCTGTCCTCTTCCCCGGGAGCCACGCGTGCCGCTGTCGCCGGGACGGGGTCCCGTTTGGGGCGGGGGCCGCCCGGGTGCGGGGCCGGGGCAGCCCAGCTCCGCCGGCCTGAGGGCAGCGGCCCGGGCTGCTGCGGGCGCCGCTTCTTTGTGCGGGTGCTCCTCTGGCTTTTGGGGCAGCGCCCTGCCTCGCCGGGGTCACCCGAAACCCCCGGGGAGGCAACCAGCGGGAAAAAAAAAAAAAAAAAAAAAAAAAAAAAAAAGAAAAAAGCGGGTGGCCACAGTCCAGCTCCGTTTGCCTTCTGCCGGGCTGGGCTCTCCCCGTGCTGCGTGTGGAGGCCCTGGAGCTGGTAAGAGTTGGGCTTGGGTGTAAAGTTAGGGGCTCGCAAAAGAAAGTGTCAAAACTTGAATGAAGTGGGGGTTTACTGGAATGGGGCAGCCCAAGCCCGCTGGTGTTCGGGGCGGTGAGGCGTTACAACTTTTCACCGGCGCGTCTCTGGTGCTGGGAAATCTTCCTGGTACTTGTATGACTTGCAAAACGAGGTCTTTGCCACAGCGGTGTGGTGCGGGTTGGGTTTTGGTATGCAGGGAACAAAATGACATGCTGCTCTGGGACCTCTTGGGAGCTCAGAAACACTCCGAAGAATTTTGTTGAGCCCTTGAATGTTTTTATATTAATGTAGAAAGTCAGAATTCTGAAAACTATTTACAGCTCTCAGTGTAAAAATAATTCTACAGAGCAAGTTTCCTCTCTTTTACAGAGAAAATATGAAGATGTGGAGTGAACAACCAAATGCAATTATTTACCTAGATCTTTTGTTTCGCATACTTGGGCAATAGATTAGACAGTGGCACCTTTCCTAATACTGTGGTAACATCGTGGTACTGCTTTGCTCTTAGTTCAGTGCTTATAAAGCAGGTCTTTTCACTGCTTGTATTGTGCCAATATCAAGCATACATTTCTTGTTTGAGCTCTTCGATTCTGTCCTGCTGATCACTGTTTCTATCTTGCACATCTTAATTTTTCCCCCCTTTTTAATATTGCTGTTTCTTACCTTCTGTTGTACAGCAGTAGGTACAGCGTCCCTTCTGGGTAGAGTCTTAATGTAAGTCCTGAGAATTGCTGTAGTCATCTTGTTTATTTTCTCTTCTGTTATTGCAAAATCCTGCTCTGAATCTCTCTGTATCAACCCCGAGCCCAGAGTTCATTTTAGTCCTCAGCCTGCGTTTATCAGTATTTCTCATGCAGTGGAACTTTGATCCATGGGGAAGCATAGACATAAAAGCTGCCTTTTCTCTTCTAAATTTATTCAGCCTTGTAGATACTGCACTGTTTACTGAATGCTGGTGTGTTTGGTGTTTTTCTCCTTTTATGTCTGTGTCAGTATTTGTTTTCTTCAACACAAGTGAGAGGTTTTTTTTTCCACTTAGCACTAGCTTTGCCTCAGGTTTTTAATTTTTCTGTCTTTTGTCTTGCAGTGAATGCATTTATTTGTTTTGGTGGGTTTTTTCCTCATGATGGTCCTCAGCTCAGTTCTTCTGCTTTACTTGTAATTTTCTGTACATCCATCAGTGAAATGAGGTCATGTGGAGACTTAGATATATTTGTGAACTGTGACTCTTCCCCTGTTTACTTCTCAGTGTTAAAATTTTTGCTATTTCCCTGCTAAACTATACAAATCTTTCAACAGTGGATGTTCTCATCACCTACAGGCCATCTGAAATACTCCCTTGCATCTTGTCTTCTCTTGGACTCCTGTATTTGGCTGTGGATTTCCAGAGGACTGTGCGTTCTCAAAACTTGTTATTTTAAGAGGCTAGGATGCTGTTAAATGTATTTTTCTTTTCCATTTACTCAAATGCAAAGAATTGATCTAAATGCGGCCCATTCTTCTGCAAGTGCTTTTGCATGTGTCTTTGTTCTCTACTGAAGTCCACTCAGCAAAAAAGGTCCTTTCTCCTGCTGGCACCCGTTCCTGTGTCTCTTCCTTTATGACATTACTGTCACTGTTTTGTGCCCCAATCTCTGCTATTTGTTCTCATTTATAAGTCTGGTTGAATAGGTTGTGTATTTCTCCTGGCGTGTTCTCTTTCAGATGCATGAAGTGCAACCGTAGCTACATGATCACTTCTCACTGTCTCTCCTCTCTTTCATCCAAACACTCCCTCAAGGTTCAGGCTAACTCTGAAAATTTTCAGTATCCTCTGTCAATTGCTTCTGTAGGAAGCTCCTCCAGGATATCTTAATCTAGTGTTTTGCATTCTGCATAACTCTTAATACTCTTGCTATTGCTGAGTGTTAGCTTAGTCTCAGTTATTTACCTACTCCTAGATTGCTGATACATCTAATTCAGCTAGCCACACGCCTCCCTTATCTTCAGCTGTGATATCGGTGTGTGCTTCTGGGTAGGTGAGGTTACTGGTTTCCTTGAGGTCTTTAATTTTCCTTTTTGTTTACCTTCAGCCTCCTGTACATGCAGTTTGACTGCAACGCTTCGGGTTAGCCACTCTGGTATGCTACTCTCTGGCCTCATAATTTGGTGAACACTTAGTGGCTCCTTTAATCTCACTGTTGTCTTGGTCTGTGCTTTTCTTAATATTCTTTTTTTCTCTTAGAAGGGATGTGATCATTTTCTGCACAACTTCTTGGTGCTCTTCCTTGGTACGTTTTCAGTATTTGGATACCTTGACTCTCAGCATGTTTCCTTTGCTGTGAGCCTAAGGGGTGGACCGAAATAGATAACTGACAATATTTTGGTTCCTTCCTATAAAGTAAGACATCTCAGATACTCTGCCCATCAGGTGATATCAAAGTCCATTTCCCTTCAGCTTTTTGCTTGTTTGTTCAAATCAAGGAGTAAAAGGGGGATATTTAGTAGCATAAGAAATAATTAGTGATAAAGGTGGCAATTTGTCATGGAACAGTTACTGGCCTGTTACTCTTTAGGCTTCTTTGTTCAGATTTCCTTTCACATCAGTATCTCCCCTAGCTGACAATATATTGTATTTTGAAACGTCTCTTATTGGTCTCTTCAAGTCACTTAGATCTGTGGTGGTGTCTTCACAAAATGGAGCAGAGATCATCATGTGTACTGCTAGGTTTCCCTCTCAACAGAGAGGCAGCAGGTTAGAATGCTATCACCTTGTAGTAAATTGAAGGCAAGCTAGTGTGATGAAGTTTGTCCCATTCTGCTCCATTGTCAATATGTTGTGTTCAGCGTTTTAAACTGTTTAGGTTTTTTTTCCTCTCCTGAGTTTGATTGCTCAAAAGAATTTGAATTTATTCCTTGCTTTAAAGTAGTGCAGGCAGAGGTGCTGTGCTGGGATTTGTTGTCTTCCAACTATCTCATTAGAACTGTTGTGTCAGTTTGTGCTTTTCATTTCCTTGTGTCCTGACAGTATATTTTGTTTTCCCTTCCTGGTTTGTATGCAGTGACTGTAAAGTTGGCATGACATGGCAGCGGCTGTGCCAGCACAATCTTTATTTGCTTTTCTAGTCTTCATTACGTCGCTGCGGTCTAATATAACTCAAATGTTCATGCATGACTCATGAGGTTGTGTGACTGACCCATGCATCGTGATCTCTGTGCTTGTAATTACGTGATACCTTCATCTACCACTACTGTGCTTTAAAAGCACAACTCTGCCATGGGAACTTTGTGTATTTGATGGGGTTTGTCCAGTCAGTAGGGATACCTGACAGTTCAAAGTCTGGGGTGAGGTACTGCTTCTCATTTATTAATGTATGTTTATTAATGGAGGTTCAGTGAATCACCGTGACCATCAACAAGAAATCCATCCTTTTCCTGATACGTCTCTCCCCTTGGAGAGTAGTGGTTTCTAAGCATGCAAAACGCTTGCAACTGTAGTTATTCTTCTCACTTTCTAAGGCTTTTTTGCTATAGGAAACTTCACTCTTGCTCTAAGTTTCTGAATATCTTGGTGTTTCACTGGACGTAAAGAGAAGGACGAGAGTTGAGGACATTTTGATTTGAAATATTGGCTTGGCTTTTTGGATTGCTTGCTTCAGTGCATGTGCACAAACTGATATTAATATAGCTTGAATCATAGGTTAGAGGACAGCCAGTGAACTACATGCCAGAAGGCTGTGCCATCTGTGTGTATTTTATACCTTCCTGTATACAGTGGGATGTGCTAGAAAGTGATACTGAAAAAAGAAAATCCAGCAGGTATGCTGCTGTTCTTTTGTTCTGCTTGATGGCATGGAGAAAACTTAGATTTCTTTGCTGCTTTTGAAAACATTCACCTAATGGTGAATGAAGAGTGATGTGTGTGTTTGCACTCAAACTCAGGCCAATGTATCAGTCCTAGAGTGAAGGATTTTAAAAAAAATAATTGACCAACATGTGAATTGTTCTTTTCTTAGAGCTTTAACCCCTCTGGAACATTTAGTGAAGTCATATCTATATATAATTATCAAAACAGTTTAATCTTAATTCTCCTGAAATTCCTCACAAAGTTATGTAGGAAAAGCCTCAGATGACTGTGACTTTGTTCCTCATATCATTACAGCTTTTGAAAGCTTCTTATATTGTTTTTGAGCTTTTCTGGTGTTCAGTCATAACAAAATAAATTGGATATATGCTCTTGTTTAAACCATTTTTAGACTGTCTTGTGAAACACATACATGCTTGTCTTTGGCTCACTTCCTAGCCCACGTGTGCTTGTTTGAGTCATCTCTTGGGCTGTCAGTCCCCTTCCTCTTCTCAGCCATGGGAGCTCTGAAACCCATTGACCAACTTCCTCTGAGTTTCTTCATGCAGGGAGAGGCCTTAAAACACTATTAAAA